ATGATAAGCAAATATAAATGGATATAAATCCGACAGAATGAAGAAAATATCTGGAAAAACAAACAAAAATCCTTAGAATGTGATTATGTTGTTTTAATATGAATGAAATGTCGACGTCTGACGTTTCGGTTTAATAACCTTCTTCAGGACAATATTCATTAAAAATACAATACAATTAACATAATCAGTATAACTCGACGAAAACGATGGACATAAAAAACAAGTCTTATCCAAAACAGATGAAAGAAAATTTTAAATGATAAGCTTTCCGTTTGAGCGTGGTCACGTTGTCGTCAAATTTTCTTTCAAATGAACAGCTGACATGGGATGGTGGAAAGTGCGTTAATAACTTCAAACCTCACAAATGCATTCATATACTGAAGGATTCACATTTAATAACTTTCCAAAAATAGTAAGAGCTTAACAAAATATGTAGAAATTTTTTGTCGACAGGAGTAAGCTAGTATATATATATTTACGGATTCAGATGTTAAAACCTTCTAAGAATCGTAAGGGCTTGACCAAATATGTAGTCATTTTTTATTGGCATCTGTAAGCTAGTATAATTATATATTTACGGACTCAGATGTTAAAACCTTCCAATAATAGTAAGGTCTTAACGAAATATGTAGTCATTTTTTATTGTCATGTAAGGTATATATATATATATATATATATATATATATATATATATATATATATATATATATATATATTAATGGACTCGCATATTAAAACCTTCCAAAATATGCAGTCATTTTTATCGACACGAGTAAGCTAGTATATTTATATATTTACGGACTCAGATGTTAAAACCTTCCAATAATATTAAGGGCTTAACGAAATATGTAGTCAATTTTATTGTCATGTGTAGGTATATATATATATATATATATATATATATATATATATATATATATATATGTATATTATTGGACTCGCATATTAAAACCTTCCAAGAATAGTGAGGGCTTAACAAAATATGCAGTCATTTTTATCGACACGAGTAAGCTCGTATATTTATATATTTATGGACTCAGATGTTAAAACCTTCCACTAATATAAAGGGTTTAACGAAATATGTAGTCAATTTTATTGTCATGTGTAAGGTAGCATATATATATATATATATATATATATATATATATATATATATATATATGTATATTATTGGACTCGCATATTAAAACCTTCCAAGAATAGTGAGGGCTTAACAAAATATGCAGTCATTTTTTATCGATACGAGTAAGCTCGTATATTTATATATTTATGGACTCAGATGTTAAAACCTTCCACTAATATTAAGGGTTTAACGAAATATGTAGTCATTTTTTATTGGCATCTGTAAGCTCGTATATTTATATATTTACGGACAGACATTTTAAAACCTACTAAAAATAGTAAGGGCTAATGTAGTCAATTGTGTCAGCAAGTGTATGCTAGTACATATATATATTAACGGACTCACATGTTAAAACCTTCTAAGAATAGTAACAGCTTAACAAAGTATATGGTCATTTTTTTCGTCATGTACAAGCAAGTGCATTCGTATATATAAGGATTTATATGTAATAAACTTCCAAGAATAGTAAAGGCTTAAGAAAATCTTGTGGGCAAAGATAAACTAGTAACATAATATCATAGGAAGTGAAAAACAAATTAAAATAAATTTTTTTTTTGAAATATACAATGACGGTAAGGAAACATTTTTATTTACAAAAATATATGCTTCTTTATATTAAATACAAATAATTTTCATATCAAATTCTCTTCTAGTTATCATTATTTTTTCTTTTTTTATAAATGACCCCCAAATTATGAAGATATAATTAGCAGATTACAAATTACGTGTATTTTTACCGATACACGTCGAGACGCACCACGTGACTCTCTCCATTTGAAAAGTTTTCAGATTTATAAATATATAAAAGCTAACTGAAGGATTATTTACAGGATTTCGCTATTAAACGACTCTTATGAGAATTAAACTGAGATAAGACCGGGATTCCCCCGGAGTACGAAAAAGCAAAACGAAAACAAAATAAAAAAACGAAGGCACATTCATTATCAGGCAACCTACCCGCCATTATATCATTAGTACATATATACTTGTTCATCTCACCACACCCTTAAGTGCATGTCATTAAAATAATAATAATAATATATATATAAATATATATATATATATATGTGTGTGTGTATGTGTGTGTGTGTATGTATGTGTGTGTGTGCTTGTGTTTGCAGGATGTATAATAGTAACTGAAACAAAAGTGAAAATGATGACGCCAAGTGGAATTTCTTGTTTTTTTTTTTTTATTAACGATGCATTTCGCCGCAGAGCGTAGGCTCTCTTTGGTGTCCTCAGGTTAAAATTAAAGAAAGACAAAACTGTGTGTGAAGAAAAGTGGGAATCCTAAATTAAATTAATTATCTCTTAGCTTATCACCTCCCAATGTCAAGACTTAGAGAGTGTCTGTCCGCCAGTGTGTCTGTTTTATCTACATCTATATTAAAGCTTGTATTAGAGCCAAAGATGTTTATATATATATATATATATATATATATATATATATATATATATATATACTCTTAAGGTGTGCTATATTTATGAGGTAAAGTGCTCAATATCAGAGACAGAGCGTGTGTAAATATAAAAGTGAATATTGAAGTCAACACTTAGAGGCGACAGGTTGTTTCATGCTAGACACAATCGTCAGGTCGTCCAGCATGAAACAGACTGTTGCCTCTAAGTGTTGACTTTAATATATATATATATATATATATATATATATATATATATATATATATATATATATATATATATGGGATTTATATGATTAAAAGTTTGTCCCTTAGCTGATTGATTTTATCTTCATCATCCGGACTTAAGAGTTTCGTAGTCAGACTTCTCTGTCCATCCTTCAGCGGGTATCAATAATATATATATATATATATATATATATATATATATATATATATATGTGTGTGTGTGTTTATATATATATATATATATATATATATATATATATATATATATATATATATATATATATATATATATATATATATATATATATATATATATATATATATGTATGTATATATATAGTTTTAACGTATTCTATATTCATGGGTTCAAGTGCTTAATATCAGGGATAATGTATAAGTAAATATAAATGTGGACAATTGTATTTAAGCATGTAAGAGACTATCGCGTCTTGGTGTTGACTTCAATGTCCAGTTGTATATATATATATATATATATATATATATATATATATATATATATATATATGACATGATTTCGTGCTACCATAACCATTTCGAACAGTTCCGTACACTCAATTTCACTCCCAAGGCGTGGTTCAACACGTGGTGCGATTTTCAGGTACTTTCAATAAGTGCCTCACACTGGCATCGCCTCCCCAGATACCATGAAGTCACCATCCTGACAAAGGATGAGATTCGAAACCGAGTCTCAGGGTTGGAAATCTAACGCTCTAAGCAGTCGAACATTTCAGTGTGTTTGGGTGTCAATCTGAGGAAAGTGCAGAGAATTCGGGTAAAGGTGGATGAGTCTAATGGTGATCACGAAGGTACGGCAGCACGGGATATACACTCTGATCGTTCTGTTTCGAAAAGGACTCCAGGATTTGTTGGTGAGTACCTCAGGCTCAACATGTGGGCCTACATCAAGTGCCTTGAAGAGGTAATGCTGCCCCGGGTCAAGAGGGTGGCTTCTAAAAGAGCCAATGTCTGGCAACAAGACTCTGTACCATACCACACAAGCTGGAGAACCCAGTCATGGCTGTGAGACAATTTCTGCGACCCCCCCTTACATTTGGTCACCTAACACCCCAGACTGAAACACCCTTGGGTAGTATGTGCGGGGCGCAGTTGAGCGAGACACCGACATAATTTCGTGTAACAACAAAGATGAACTGAAGGCAAGGATTATGGCAGCATTCACCAACTTAAACAAGGAGACAGTCCAGAAGAGTTGCTGGAGATTCCTAAGTCGTCTGGAGCCCCTGGTTGAAGCGAATGGAGATTTTATTGAATAAATTTACTCCTTAATATTTCAGGATATTTTTGTGTAATTTTGGTAAATATATCTGTTAAAATTAGATGTTAGTGTTATTTTCCTTTTAGCATAATTTATACGACAATTTATTCATCACTGCATATATATATATATATATATATATATATATATATATATATATATATATATATATATATGTCACCTGGTTAATATTAATAAATGTTTTCGTACTGATTTCAGCGGTACCCTTTCGTTTCACTTTGTTTTATTGACCAACTTATCTACTATATATATATATATATTATTGTTATTATTATTATTATTACGTAAACGTTATTTTTAGTGGGTACTCATATTTGAGTAAACGACTGTATATTTCTTAAACAATATATTTATTTATTTTCGTTTACCAGCCAGAACATTCGAGAAATCTTATTAAAGAAATGCTTTCCAGCATATTTGTCTATAAGATTTCTTGGTAAAAGTATGAATATATTCGTTCTTGGAATCAGTGGGACACGCAATCTCTCTACCAAGGAAAGACCATATTTATTTTACACTGAATGTCTGACCTTCTTCTATACAACACATTCTATATGCACATGACACGTTTTAGAAGCTGAAAAATTAACGGTTTTTTTTAAATTTAGGTAAACAAAAACACAGCAACACTAATAAAAAATAATACATAAATAAACAAACACAAATATCGAAAAGTGTGTTCATTTTTAGAAACAGATTAGCAGGTGCAAAAAATGAAAATATATAACGGGATTTCAGCTTAAAATATCCGGAGATTAAGAAGTCATTATTTAAGATAAAATAAAATAATTTATCCCACTTTTTTGGATACCTAAACTATTAATTGATTAAAAAAATAAACGATTGTAGAAAATGCAAAGTTGATAAATATAACTTTAGGTAAGCAAAAACAGAAAGTAAAAGAGATCAATATTTATACAGAAAAAAAACGGTAAAGAAGAAAAAGAAAGACGGAGGAGGAAGGAGAAAAGTAGAAGAATAAGAGAGAGAAGATGACGGAAAAAAGAAGAAGAAGACAGGAGGAGGAGAAGAAGAAGAAAGAAAGAAAGAAAGAAAGAAAGAAAGAAAGAAAGAAAGAAAGAAAGAAAGAAAGAGAAGAACAAAAAGAACAAGAAGAAAGACGGAGGAGGAAAGGAAGGAGGAGGAAGGAACGCGTAGAAGAAGAAGAAGGAGAAGAAAAAAGGAGGAGGGAAGAAGAAGGAGGGGGAAGAGGAGTAGTATAAGAATAAGAAAGAAAGAAAGAAAGAAAGAAAGAAAGAGAAGACGGCGACAAAGAAAGTCCACGAGGAAAAGAAGAAGAAGAAAGACAGAGGAGGAAAATAACAAGAAGAAGGAAGATGAGTAGAAGAAGTAAGAAAGACGGAGGAGGAGGAGAAGAAGAAGAAGAAGAGGAAGAAAAGAAGACAGAAGAGGAAAATAATAAAAATAATAATAATAATAATAAAAATAATAATAATAATAATAATAATAAGGAGAAGAAGAAGAAGAAGGCTGTGGAGACCAATTATACCGTTGCTTGCATTTTATGATCAAGTTAATGTTTTATTTCTTCATGCTGGAACTTTGGATCTGAGAAATTATAGCCCCCCCAAGACGTTTAAGTTGGCATTAGTCTAAGAGAAATTGCAAGCATGATACGGCCTTTCTTATCCAGTCAGGATAGTCAAGTGCTATTCATCATTACACGCTTACAACAGCGGACACCTGCATTGTCTAAATCCACTTGACAATGTTTAGACACCCGACGACGCTTAAATGAACGACAATGTGCAATCCGGGTGGATTGGGGAAGGTCAAAAAGTAAACTTTAAAAAAAAAAAAAAGACTTAAGGTACGCGTCACACGGGTGTACATGCACCCTTGCACCCGGATAGAATAAATTCTGACGCCGGGTGTCATTTTCAGCGCCCTGCTTTGAGTGCCGAGAGATCAGTTTGGCTAAAATATACAGACATTTTGTTGCACTGATTGTTTCGTGATGGGCATTGGATTCGGTGCCCTTACCCCGAGGGGATAAAAGTATCAATTGTGGGTCTACAAGAAAAAAGATGTGGTCATCATTGGTGAGAATGTGGGTGATAATTAGGAGTGGATACTTAAGAATTGTTTAGAAACGAAGAGATAAAGAGACGACAATTAGCTGTCAGGATTTGTGAGACGAGACAATAGCTGCTTGTAGACGGACTAAAATAGCTAGATAGATAGAGAGATATGAACGGGTTCATATATATATATATATATATATATATATATATATATATATATATATATATATATTCGTGTGTTTACATGTATATATATATATGCATATGAAGAAAAAATATATACGGAAAAACAAACAAAAATACTGTCGGATCTATATCCATATATTTGCATATATATATATATATATATATATATATATATATATATATAGAGAGAGAGAGAGAGAGAGAGAATATATATATAAGATGATGATGTAGAGAGGGAAAGACAGAGAGAGACAAATAGGAGAGAGATAAATAATGAATTAATGACATAGACATACAGATATATATGAACAGGTTTATATATATATATATATATATACACCCACACACGCACGCACACACACACACATATATATATATATATATATATATATATATATATATAGAGAGAGAGAGAGAGAGAGAGAGAGAGAGGGAGAGAGAGAATATATATGATGATGATTTAGAGAGGGAAAGACAGAGAGACAAATAGGGAGAGAGATACATAATGTATTAATGACATAGACATACATATATATATGAACAGGTTTTTATATATATATATAGAGAGAGAGACAGAGAGAGAAATAGGGAGAGAGATAGATGATGAATTAATGACATAAATATATAGATATATATGAACAGGTTTATATATATACACACACACACATATATATATAAAGACATTTTTATGTTTATACATTCTTTTTATACATACAAATATTTAAGTAAATGCTCTGTTTTATAATAAACAGTATTAATAACATTATAAAAAACGCCTTCTACCATCTATCCTCGGGTCCGCCCTCTATGGGAACATGTCGGCGAGTTGATGGCTCGTATCGCTCCCGAAAAGCTCGTGCTCATTGATCGTGCATACGCATGTGAAAATGTGTCGCCCCCGTATTCTGGGGTGAAACGGATGGTGTTTCTGTCGCACCAGAATAGTTATTTTGACGACGCGATAGAAGGAACTCTTCTCATCAGAATCTGATCCGATTTTTTATCAGCTCAAGATGAAGGTTAGAACTGATAAAAAGCGATTGGTTTCGACAGATTTCAGCGCAAGGTGGGTGACTGCGGCAAGCCTGGTTCGTTGAACGGGGCTAACCTTGATTTTCTTTTTTTTATGTCCTCCTAAGACATCGGGGTGGTTTCCTGTGGAGCCCTACCCTGTTTAGGACGGACCATTTCTTGTTTACCTAGTTAATGTGAGTAAGTGTCGTTTCCGGCTTGTTCCCGGTCCTTTTTTGGTTATAATGCAAGTCGAGATTCCCAACCTCCCCAGTTGATTTTTAGTCCCTTTTTTTCATCTCGAATGGACCAGCTTTTTTCTTTCCCAATGGCCACATTTACTTTATCCTTTCCCTCTCCCTTAGCCAGAGAACTACTTGATTTTGTCTAAAGACAGAATACAGCGGTCTCTCTTAAATCTTTTTTGATCGGCTCAACTATATCAGTTATCTTTATTTTGCTTATTTGTTTTGATATTTTTGTTTTGTTTTTGGGGTTCGTAACCTTCCCTCCTCCACTCATTACGCATCATGTACAGATTTTATATGCAAATTAAATTTTTTATGTCATGGGGTACGTTTTGTAGGTTCCCTAAGTGTATGTGGTACTACGGTATATGAAGGATTGAATGATGATGGATGAGTTCTTGTGGTGGATGTGCAAATTGTAACGAGTGGATGTGTCGTGAATTTGATTAGCTAGATATAAAATAATAAATAACGGTCAGCATTAGCCCATTGCCCCCCTTTTTAGGACTTGTACCTCAATTGCATTTTATATGCAATAAATCTTGAAAACAATGCATCCAATCAAAAGAAAAAAACGAAATATGAGTTACCAGAAAATTCCCATAAGAAAGTTACAATAAATATTCATAAGTTCAACTGAAGAATATTAAAATACATTAATTTGTTGACTCGAAGAGAATTTTTCATATGAATTATAAATCCGTGCTATTAATTTTCGGCATTTTGCATACTCGAAGAAAAAATTTTATATGAAGTGTATTTTTCTTTTTTTCTTTTTTTTTAAGCATTTCACCCCAAGCAAGGCGGGAAGCCACTAGGACGCAAGTGGTTACAGAAGATTTGGAGCAAGATCAGATAGGAGTGATAGAGGAAAGGATGAGGAGAAGGATAGTGGATAGATCAAGGCAACTGGAGATGTCGATTGACATTACATTTGAATAGTTGGAGATTATAGCTATCAGAGAAACAGGAATAGGGAAGGGAGTTCCACAGGCGAGAGGTGTGAGATATGAAGCTATTGGAGTAGAAGAGGTGGCTACATTTAACAGTTTCGATAGTGAAAGGGTGAGAGCGGGATGCCAGCCTCGTAGGACGCTTGAATTCGCGAAGTCTGGGAACCAGCGAATGCAGCTCCTCGTGCAATTACCCTGAAAGTATTTGTAAAAAGACAGAAAAAAATAAGAGAGAGCGGCTGCAGACGAGATGCCAGATCAGGGCCAATTATATTGCATATCCGTCTCTGGATCTTATCAAGAACCCCGAGGCAAACAGTAGGGGCTCCAGACTAAATATGGCAGCAATGTTCCATGCAAGGTCAATGGTTGATTTGTAGATTTGAAGTATCGATTCCGGGGAGAAAAAATATCCGTAATATCATTTTTCGGCTTTCTGGTAGTAAAGCCTTGACGTGTTTTTATAAGCATTGGAGAATGATTTCTTCTTCAATGTAATATCTGAGAAAGTTTTTTTTCTCGTTCTTCTTCTGTAGGAACGAGCGGATGTTATTTTTTGGTTAAGTATATATATATTTGTTTTCTTTCATTTCGTTTTTATTTTGATTGGATACGTTGTTTTCAAATAAATTCATTTCGCTTTTGCCATGATAAAGTCCGTCGATGGACAAAACGCGTCGGCTACAATTATTAGGTTGGTGCAAAAATAATGACGCAATAATGTCGTTTTTGGACGTATTTTTTAACGTCAAAAAACGACATTAATACGTCATTATTTTTGCACCAACCTAATAAATAGTTTTCCTCAAGTCTTTTATCTGCCATTCATACTATCCTCTCTACAGATTATATCACAGAATATACATACATACATACATACATACATACATACATATATATATATATATATATATATATGTGTGTGTGTGTGTGTGTGTGTTCGCGCGCGCGCGTGTATGTGTGGTAATATTAGCCATTTCCTTGTAATGAAAAATGAATTGACAGTTCAGCCAGTGCTGCTGTCGTTTGAAATTCATAGATTTTTTTTGTGTGTGATGTCAACGAACACTCGGTTGACACTTTGGTAATGTCAACGGATACTCGCTGTCACTTTCGCAATGTTCGTTGTAGTAGAGACTTTGTAATCGCAGATGCAGCTATAGTACGCCGTTGAACAATACTGGTGTCAGTCACCTTCGAATATCACTCGCACTAATAGTACTTGCTCGATAATACTCGCTCGAATAGTAATCACCGAATAGTGATCCGAATAGAGAAATAGTATAGTGAATAGTGTAGAGAATAGCAGTCCTTATAGTAATAGAGGATAGACTAGAAATGGCGATCCGAATAGTAATAGAAGGTAAAATAGAAATAACGATCAATCTAGACGTCACGTGACTTGGTATATATGCGTTTTCTCTATGGTCACTTGATCTACTTAATTCAATAATGGGATCACTGGCGATCTATGTTTAAACTCAAGTGTCGGCAGCGACACTTTCTTCTTATATAACAGTCTTAAAAGAATTTTTCAGAAAAAATAGTTTTCTCAAGTGCAGTAGCTGCTATCTTTCTTTCCAGTATTGAAGGGGATTTCCCTAACCTTTTTTTAGAAAGTAATGTAGAGGAATGTCAACCTCTTGATGTGCTATCCATTTTAGTTGTTGCTGCTGTTGAAAGTCTTCAAGTGATGCTGATTTTGTTTTCTAGTCAAGTATTTTGAGATATTGTAGCGCCAGTTCACAATGTTCGAAAAACTGTAGTCTTTGCCGAAGCCAACAGGCGTCACTCGCCCGAAGCCATTGTTAACCAATGATCAAAAAAAAAAAACAAAAAAAAACTGCTGTATACAGCTTAGATATTTCTGAACGTGTCTGGTGCTATATATGACATCCGCCTGAAAGTCTTGTTCTGACGAGGTTATTTAAGGAGATGGTTCCAGGTTTTAGTTGACTTTTTAAAATAACCGGTATTCATATTATATAATGACTATTATTGTCATAATTATTATTAATAATACAGGTATACCTCACCTTACGTCGGTAATTTGTTCTAGGGAGATGCGACTTAAAACGAAAAACGACTTAAGTCGAATTTACTCGTCTCCGAATTTACTTGTCACTTGACTAAACCACAAATAACCATTCCCAGTTCTGTATTTTATTTATAAACGCATTTTTAATAATATATTGTCAATAAGAATCTATTTTAAGCTTACAAACAAATAAATTTTAGCTTTTAATATAGTACAGAAAAAAGTAATCTAAATTTACGAATACATGTACGTAACACTTGTAAATGTAGATGTTTACAATTTAGCGATCTTTACAGTACATCGCGGACTCCTTATTTGTGAATGTGGTTTGCTCTAAGATATCGATAACTCCAATATTGAGCTCTTAAAGACCGCTAAATAAGACAACAACACAGTGACTGATGTTTTCATATTTTATTACCTAGGATTTATGTTGATTATATTAACATTTACTCTAAATGTACGTATTTTAATATGATTTTATATACTTTTATTTTTATTTATTGTACAGTGACATGATTTTATGTGCTTTTAATGCTTTTTTAGTGATATTACGACTTCAGTATTTGTGGTGGACAGACGTAAAGTTGAATAAAATGACTTAAACTTGATTTTTATTTTTCCATATTTTTTTTGACAAATGGCATATAATCTAGAACGACTTAACTCAAACCGACGTAACCCGAGGAATACCTTTACTTTAAATAATTATCATTAATGATGTTTGAAAAAAATAATTATTATGATTATTAATTGTATATTGGGTACTCACATGACTAACTTATAAAAAACGATGCCTCATTAAATATATAATTTGTCAATTGTCACCTAAATTCAAATATTTCGCGTGAAATGTGAAAGTGAAAGTGAAAGAAGCGATGAAGGAACGCGAAAAAGAAAAAAAAAGCACCTCTTGGATTTATGCTGACTTAAAATATATTAGAAATCATTTAGCATGTTGCAATTTTTTTGCAGTGTGACCAGGACCAGAGATTCACTTCAGTTTAACTATTCATTTGAAGGGCGGCAGTGCGACTACAATTAGCTCTACCCGCTGCTTACGAGAGGCAAACACAGAATGAAAACCTACGAGCACCGGGCCACACTGCCAACATTCCACTACGCAGGGATTCTATTACTGAATCCTTAGTATAAAGGATGGACGCTGTAATGTGCAACTTTGACGCCAACTTTATAACGCCTTAGGCCTATTCCAGTTGTCTCCTGTGTGACGTGCGAGAGCCGTTTGACATTGAGACAAATTCTGCTAAATTTACACTCGCGAAATGGAGGGACGAAAATTGATAGATAGATAATGAAGTGACACAGATAGATAGATAGATAGATAGATAGATAGATAGATAATGAAGTAACTGAGATAGATAGATAGATAGATAGATAGATAGATAGATAGATAGATAGATAATAAAGAGAACGAGATACAAATACACATACACGCATATATGGATAGATAGATAATGAAGACACAGATAGATAGGTAATGCAGAGAATCAGATACACAAATACACAGACACACACGCACAGACACAGACAGACACACACACAGCCACACACACACACACACACACACACATATATATATATATATATATATATATATATATATAGAGAGAGAGAGAGATAATGAAGCGAGACAGGTAGATAGATGGGTAGATAGATAATCAGTGAAACAGATAGCTAGATAGATTGATAGATAGATAATCAAGATAGATAATGAAGAGAATCACATACACACACACATACACACGCACACACACACACACACACACACACACACATATATATATATATATAGATAGATAGATAGATAGATAGATAGATAGATAATGAAGTGACACATGTAGATAGGCAGATAATAAAATGACAGATAAATAATGAAAAGAATCAAATACACACACACACACACACACACACACACACACACATATATATATATATTGTTTTTCCTAATCTTCCAGCATCTGTGTTTTCTTGTTGCTTTGTTCAAAAAGAAAAACAGGTTGACTGAACGAAAAAACATTTCACCCAGGTATCTCTTTCCATCTGTTCATATCTAAGTTACTTCGATGTAGTTATTTCTGGCCGTTTCCTTCCTTTCCTCTAAGTCTGTTCATATCTATCTATCTATCTATCTATCTATCTATCTATCTATCTGAGTCTGTTATCTATCTATCTATCTATCTATCTATCTATCTATCTATCTATCTATCTATCTATCTATCTATCTATCCATCTATCTATATATATATATATATATATATATATATATATATATATATATATATATATATAATGGATAACGACACGGAACTATAAATCTGAGAGCCGATTTCGAATTCTAGTTGAGTTCAATACATTCACCTACACGCAAATACGTTTGGGAAATAGATCTCCCCCGCGCTATGGATAAATAGCAGGACAAGTAATATTCCATAATCTTGGCTGGCAGTCTGTCTAGTAGAAAGAACATACTGCATTCAAAGGACCTGGAGACGGTTGGCAGATGAGGGATGAGCTTCTTAAAGAAGCCAACGGCCAACATACATGTAACTCCTATGAAAAAAATGTCAGCAATTGTAGCATCATTTGAAATGCAGCACAAATCGCACCAGTGCAGAATATTGTGTTATGATGCAAAGAATGTGCATTGCAGGATACAGACGATATACCACTTCAAAAAACATTTCCATTGCATGTTGTTCAGTTGAAAAGTCTTAGAATTACTGGATCCTCGCTCTCGACAGCACAATCCACCCATCCATGTATATATGTCCCCCTAATTTCACTCATAAAGCTTGGGTCAACACCTAGTATGGTTTTCAGGCACTTTACACAAGGTACCGTACGCTAGTAATCTGTATGGTTGGAAAAATTATGTCAAATGAATTGATGGTAAATAAACAAATAAATAGATGCACACTGGTTTGCCGCCCTTACGTATTATTTTAAAACATGTGAGGATGAATGAAGTATGTATAATAAAAAAAATGTAATTTGTTATTTAAAAAAATGACTTAGAAAGATGAAACTAAGTGCACAAAAAGGAGGCATCCATACTTTATATTATTTTCATAAATATGAATCTCCCTAAGCAGACGGTTACTGTTAGATTTTGCTTTAATGACATTCACCTTTGAAAATTGTAATATGGTAAATACTAAAATTGGTATAAATTGTCGCCGTGGGGCTAATATTACTTGAATGGAAAGACATTTAGTGTGATATCAATTTGCAATTCCATTCTAAAATAGTAAATTTTTCCTGTAGGTTAATATGTGCATTAAAGGGATGTTTCAAATTAAAGCTAAGTTATATACTCCTGGAACAATGATAGGCCTATATCATTCTAGTTTTCTTCATTCATTGTCCGTTCTGAAAGTCTGTCGTTTGATAATTTAACGTCTGTCACTGAATTTCATTAATAAAATAATGTAAAGCAGCAAATCTTTTCGTAAATTATAAAAACCATTCCATTTAACTTATTGCATTTTCTCTAAGTAGACTTTTGGAATTTAATCGCAGTTCATGATCTCATCAATTTACATTTGAGCTGGCTAAATGCAGCTGTAAATTCTATGCTAACAATTTATTTTCTCGTACTTTTCGCTTGTGGATCTCTCTTCCGACTCCATGCTTTTCAGCCAACTTTAATCTGCAAAAAATTAAATGTAATGTCAAGCGCTATCTACTGTCCTTCTGATCACTCCTTTTCTCTTCCTGCTCATTATAAATGTTTTCTTCCACACCACGTAACCCCTTTTAGTGGCTTTACTATTTTTCTTTCCAGAATCTATCTTACATATCTATAAGTCTACTATTCATCCATGCTTAGAATATTACTGTTATATATGGCCCGGTGCCCCTGCTAAATACCTTGAGCTCTTTGATAAAATCCAAAGAAGAATCAGCAATATTATTGGTCCTGATCTGGTAGCTCGGCTTCAGTCACTTTCCCAGCGCCGTAAAGTTGCCTTTCTATGCCTTTTCTATAATTACGTTCAGAGTAATTGTTCGGATAAGCTCTTAACTATGGTACCTAGACTTTTTGAATTTCAGCGGAGTACTAGACTGGTGTCAAGATCTCATCAATTTCTAGTTGACCTGGTTAAATGCAGCCATAAATTCTATGCTAACAATTTCTTTTCTCGCACTTCTCGCTTGTGGATCTCTCTTCCGACTCCAGGCTTTTCAGCCAACTTTAATCTGCAAAAAATTAAATGTAATGTCAATCGTTATCTACTGTCCTCCTGATTACTCTTTTCTTTTCCTGCTCATTATTAATGTTTCTGTTCTTGATTCTTCCACACCCTGTAACCCCTTGTGTCTTAGTGGCTTTATTACCTTGCGTGGGGTGATACCGATTAAAAAAAGTAATATTGTATAATGTGACTAATAATAATTGTTACAATGACATCTATTGCAAATACAGATTAAAATATGTGGAATTTACAATGAAATGATAATAACTGCTTTTAAAAGGAACGGATGATCTATTACATATATATATATATATATATATATATATATATATATATTAGGTTGGTGCAAAAATAATGACGTAATAATGTCATTTTTGATGTATTTTTAACGTCAAAAAACGACATTATTACGTCATTATTTTGCACCAACCTATATATATATATATATATATAGGTTAATGCAAAAATAATGACGTAATAATGTCGTTTTTGATGTATTTTTAACGTCAAAAACATTATTACGTCATTATTTTTGCACCAACCTATATATATATATATATATTAATGCAAAAATAATGACGTAATAATGTCGTTTTTTGATGTATTTTTTAACGTCAAAAAACGACATTATTACGTCATTATTTTTTGCACCAACCTAATATATATATATATATATATATATATATATATATATATATATATATATATATATATATGTGTGTGTGTGTGTGTGTGTGTGTGTATGTATGAATGTATGGTCTATCTGAAAAGTAACGTGTCTGGGTGTGGTGACCAAGCTATGACCATCGTCTACTGGAAGTTCTTGCTAGAGTGTCAGACGATTAATCAGCAAGTCTGCAAAGAGATCCTATGTTGTTTCCTTCGCCTAGCGCGCGAAAAATTACGTGTTGTGGCAGGACAAATCGTAGCTTCTTCGCCACCTGCTAACAACGCCCTGAGCATCCGGCAGTTCCTGGTCGAGATGAACATCGCCGTACTGAAACAACCTCCCTATTCACCTGATCTTGTTCCAGGTGACTCCTCACCACCACCAAGCTGAAGGGATTCATGAGGGGGACTTCTTTTGAAGTGGGGAAGACGATCAAGGAGACCAGTACAATGGAGCTGTAGTGAGAGGTGGCATGGCATACAAGAAAAAGCTTTCAAACATCGCGTAGAAGCATGGCAGAAAAGTGCATTAAACTCAAACTAATCTTGGAGGCTCTTTGCAAAAAATAACTCAGTATCAATAAAATAGTTTAGTTCGGTTATATATATATATATATATATATATATATATATATATATTAAAGTGAATATAGAAGTCAACACTTAGAGGCGACAGTCTGTTTCATGCTATATGCAATCGTCAGGCCACCTCAGACTGTCGCCTCTAAGTGTTGACTTCTATGTTCACTTTTATATTTACAAACGCTCTATCTCTGATATTGAGCACTTTATTCCATAAATATAGCACACCTTAAGACTATATTTCTTTATATATAATATTATAAATTAATTGTTTTAAAATAGGTTTTTTTTTCGCTACACAGTTCTAACCATGTTTCAAAAATGGAAGCTAAAAGCCCCGAATTTAATTTTGTAATTAAATTAAAGACATTAGTTCCATTTCATCCTCAAGCGAATTTTGGAGTAACTTTTGAAATTACACCGGATTATATATCTTACTGTTCTTTCTTTTTTTTTATATATATATATATATATATATATATATATATATATATATATATATATATAATTTAGTTCGGCCTGTAGTTCACTGCTACCAGGAAACAGAAAATTATTTTTCTCCTGATGATGGCCATTTTGGCCGAAGCTAGCCGAGGAATCTTAATGAAATAATAATAAAAAGGAAAGAATATTAATATACAACCTAGTGTGTCTGAAGATTTTAATTTTTTAATATTTTTTATTGTTCAATATATACTAGATTGTGGATTAATATTCTTTCGTTTTAGATTCCTCGACTAGTTTCGGCCAAAATGCCCATCATCAGGAGAATAAATATTTATGCTTGCTGGTAGCAGAAGAACTACAGAAATGAAATATATATATATATATATATATATATATATATATGTCATTCGCAGAGAGTACTGTTTCGCTGTATCACACCTCCTCAGTGCGACTAGACATCAATATTTCAAGCCCGGATCGAAATCCAACCGCTCAGTCAGAGTTTCTACCACTAAGCTATCTTCATTCGACAGAGAGAAACAA